TAATATGAAAATAAAAAGCCATCTGTTTATACAAAGTGTTCTTGAACAATATAATATGGAAGGGGATCACAAAATCTATGTACATTTATCAATCACTAAGAGTTCAGAAATTAAACTTGCTTTAAGAAAACTCATTATATTCCTCTTTTAGGAGTAGATGTTACAAAGTTGTGATGCATAACAAAATATTGTGTATAGAAAGCTCCAACCAAGCTTTACTGACAATAACTGCAACTTGAACCAAAAACTAAACCCAACTGGACTTTCACTGAGGCTGTATAAATTTTTGCTTCAGAGATTGCAGGATTTTACTGAGGTTTACAACCCCCTTTTTCTCTGTCCCCTTTCCCCGAAATCAACCCTACAGCTTCCTTCTTCATGGTTATCTTTGGCAATGCTTTCAAATCTCAAAAGTAAAACAACCTGCTTTGAAGTAAGCAAGAAAGATGAAAAAATTATATGTGATATATGGAAACCAGCCTAAGAGTATGAGCTGAGGGAAAAATACCAGAAGGAAGGCTAGCACAGTCTGCCCTCAAAGGAAAATGAATTTTTTTTTTAAATAAGGGGGCTTTTACTCCTTGGGCCCTTCTTCCACATTATCTCCTGATTAGAAGAGTGTGGGACTAAAATTTCAAACTCTGAGAAGGTAATCATTCTGAAGGAGGAGGAGCTAAGGAAGTAAATAAACGATCACGTACAGCAATAGCTTTAGCTGTCAATGAGTTTCTTTGCTCTGGCATTGGCAATGTCAATACGATCTTTGTTGGTGTCAGCCTTATCTGTGATCCGATTTATTTGTTGATTTTGAGCATCAATCTCATTGCCCATGTCCAGGGTCATGTTTTTTAGATTTCCCAAGATACTGCCCACCTGAATCAAGTTCTCCTCCATTTCATCTTCTCTGGCATCATTAGTTATACGTTTAATGTATCCACCACTGGCTGTTCCTGTGGCAGCTTGTTGAGGCTGGCCATTTGTCACCCGGCTTGGCTGCTTAGATACTACGTTGTTAGGTGAGTTGTCTCCACCATCTCCCCATGTTGTCTTATAGGCCTTACCAGACTCAAAGTTCTTTGTCCTATTACATGGGCAGACACAAAGGCCACAGCATTTGTTGAGTTCTGTTAAAGTCTTCTCTGCCTCTCTCATGTCTTTACTTATTTGGTCCATGCCTTCTTCTATATGGTTTAGTTGTTCCCCTTGTTCATCCAACATAGTGATGGTCTTGATTCCTACATCCTGAGTCTCAGTGGCTAAACCCAGGATTCTCCTTGTACTTTCCAGAGACTCATCGGTAACCTGGTGAGCCCTTAACTGAATTTCTTCTGATGACAAATTATCCATGATGAATCAAAATTCTTGATAGACACAGAAAAGGAAATGTGGATATTCTTGGAGAGCTGCCATCAGGGCTCCTGAGTCTCAAACAGTTGCGGCCACTCTTCTAAGCCAACAGCGCCAACACCCCCAAGAATGCTCCCCTTCTTTTTAAAAAAATAAAACGTCTACCTTTACATTTGCAACGACCGTAATCAGTCCTGATACCAATTATTCACTATTGAACCACAAGAGTCTTATCCCCATCTCCTTTCACCAGCCCCATCTAGACAGGTTAGAAACCACTCAGTGGAGATTCTATCTTCCCCTGCACCCTTTGAAACTAAGCTCCCTCTTGAAAACTTGTAAGCCACTCACGTTGTGCCTTTCTTGATGTCATACCACAATTCTTCTAGTTTTTGATCGTTAGTATTAATACATCAAATCTGTTCTTGAGATGATTCCTAAATTCAGGTGGGATATGTTCAAGGTCCAATTTTGGCTTTGTGGACTTGTTTTATTTTTGTTAAGCTTCAGCCTGAACTTGCATCTTAGCAATTGATGGCGTATTCTACAGTATGTCCTTGGTCTTGTTTTGGCTGATGATGTGGAGCTTTTCTACTGTCTCTTTCCACAGATGCAATCAGTTTGATTTTTGTGTATTCCATCTGGTGAGGTCCATGTATATAATCATTTTCTATGTTGTTTAAAAAAGTATTTACAATGAAGAAGTCATTGGTCTTGCAAAATTCTATCATGTGATCTTCAGCATCATTTCTATCACCAGTATTTTCCAACTACTGGTTCTTCCTTTTTGTTCCCAACCTCTTTGCATTGCAAATCAGCTATTATCAATACATCTTAATTGTGTATTTGATCAATTTCAGTTTGAAAACTTGGTAGAATTCTCCAGTTTCATCGTCACTGACTTTAGTGGTTGGTGTGTAAATTTAGTGCTATTAACTGTTGTCAAATTGGTTCTGATTCGAAGCAACCCTGCATAGGGTTTCTGAGAAGTGGTTGGTGTGTTTGAACCACTGACCTTGCTATTAGCAGTCCAGCATTTGTCTTACATCACCACACTATGACTTCTGTCTTCCTTGTAGGCATATGGATATTATCCTATCATAGACAGCATTATACTTCACAATAGATCTTGAAATGTTCTTTTTGATGATGAATGTAATGCCATTCCTTTTCAATTCATCATTCCCAGCATAGTAAACCATATGAATGTCAGATTCAAAATGACCAATACCAGTCCATTGCAGCTCACTAATTCCTGTCATATTGATCTTTATGAGTTCCATTTCATTTGTGACAACTTCTAATTTTCCTAGATTCATACTTTGTACATTCCATGTTCTGAATATTAATGGATGTTTACAGCTATTTTCCTTCATTTTGAGTTGTTTCCCATTAGAAAATGAAGGTCTTGAAAGTTTGACTTTGAGGAAGCAGCTCTTCCCCAGTCGTCTTTTGAATGGCTTCCACCATGAGGGGCTCATCTTCCATCACTATATCTGAGAGTATTCTGGTTCTATTCATCATGTTTCAACATTCAGTATTCTGGTGCTCTCTGACAGTGTTCCACTGCTATTCATAAGGTTTTCAAAGGTTAAATCTTTAGAAGTAATCTGCCTCTCTTTTTTCCTAGTCTGTCTGTCTTAGTCTGGAAGCTCAGCTGAAACCTGTCCATCATGAGTTCATCATGACATAGCTTCCAGAATCTCAGCAACATACAAACCACTACAGTACGACAAACTGAGAGATGAGTGTTGTAATGGTAAATGTAAGAGGTATTAACTTATTATTCTCTTCTAATAATACTAACAGTAACAACATTGGCAGTTAATGTTTATTGAACAATTTCATGTTTGACTCTATGTTATTTCCCTTATTGCATTTATCATTTACTCTTCACGATAGCCTCATATGACAAATAATAATAAGCCAGTTTCATATACATTTAGCTTCTGTAAGTAACAGAAACTGGGTTTAAGCATGAAGGACATTTATTATCTTACATCCCAAGAAATTCAATGGCTGGGTGTCTCCAAGGTTGATGACTACAGAGGGATCTGTTTTCAGCTTTAACATCATCAACATGGCAGCTTGTTCTAAGCAACCTTCACATGTGACAACATATAATGTCTTCCTTCATCTGTTTCTTGTTAGCAGGATTAAACCAGAGGATAAACATTTTCAAGTCCCCACTCATTCAAGGTTATTCACTAAAAGTCATTATAAGAGGTTGCATCATAGCTGCCATAGGTTTCCTTAAGGATCATGTTGTTTTTAATTGCTATCGAGTCAGTTCTGTCTTAGAACAGTCCTGAATGTGGTTTTGGTGGGGCTGTTGGTGGGTTTACACTGCCAACCTCCCAGTTAGCAATCTAGTGCTTATCATACAACACCATAACAGGACTCCTTAAGTATCTTTGTTGTTGTTATTTAGTGCCTTCGAGTCTGTTCCAACTCACTGCAACCCTGTATAGGGCTTCTAATGAGCAACTGGTGAGTTTGAACCTCCGACCTTGTGATCGAGTGTGTATCCTACAGCACCACACCAGGACTCCATATTAAGGATCATAGACCAGGTAATTTGTCCCCTCATCTTTGTTACCAGGATCAGAGTTCTGTTACAAATAAGGAGTGAGGGATTTGAAACTATACTATTATTTTCCAAATTTTAACAGATGAAGAACCTAACCCTATTGGAAGTGACCCAAAGGTTAATATGTGGTGGAATTAAGCCTTGAAATCAGGTTTGCTAATAACAAAGCCCATTCCTTTAACTGCTATAATGTACCTATTCCTTTAACTAACTAAACTGCCTCTACTGAATACAATCAGGTTTTCTCTCTCCTTCTCTACCTCTGTATATACATGTGTGTTTCACACAAACATGTATTTCTTTAATAATAATAAAATAATATTTAAAAAAAGAATTGTGTTTACAGGGTTCAATTTGTTCTACCATAGCTCTAGATTTAATCTTCTTGGACTTAATTTTTCTTTTCTTATCTAGATAAGAGAACTCATGTAGAGAGCTGAAATCTTTTCTATCCCTAAAATTGCTCCTTACAAGTGAGGAGGGGAGACTTTATCTCATTTACTTTGGGCCTGTTATCAAGAGGGACCAGTGTTTTGAGAAGGATATCATGCTTGGTAAAGTGAAGGGTCAGTGAAAAGGAGGACGACCCTGAACGAGATGAGCTGACACAGTGGTCGCAACAATGGGCTCAACTATAAAAACAAATAGGTTTTGTCATCTTGTACCTAGAGTTGATATTGGTCAGAACCCAATCAATGGCACCTAAGAGAAAACATTACAAGTGGAGATTCAAAAAACAAAAATAAGTTTCAGTTATTCAAATAATAATGTTCTCCAGAAATATCAGGTAGAAGTTTTAGAAACAAATGTTACTCTTTATTAAGAATTATTGCAATCAATGAGATAAAATGAACTGTATCATTTGTTGAATGTAAAACTGATGATTTTGTCTGTAAATCTTAATTCACAATAAAAATTTTAATTGGAAAAAAAAATAAGCCTCTTATTCACCAATAGGGCAGGTGGTGATGTGCAAACTTTCACCATTAGAGATTTAGTCCTAAGCCAAAAATAGGATGGCTTTTCTTACCTCTTCTATTTAATATGGTGCTGGTAGTGGTTACGAGTTGGGCTGCTAACTGCAAGATCAACAACTGAAATCTACCAGCTGCTCCGAAGGAGAAAGATGAGACTTTCGACAACTGTAAAGATTTTCAGTCTCAATACGATGTCACTGAGTTGAAACTTATCTGCTGCATGTAACCACCATTACCACTGCTATCTGCTCCAAGGACTCAACTCACCCAGGCAGGAATATACCAAGAAGCTCATCTGCCAGCAAACAGATAGGAGCTGACACTGCTCTACAGCACTGTCCTAAAGTCTTGATTTTCTGTGTATAGAAAGATATCACACATAGACAAGGACTTCTGGGAAATTTTCCCTCTACAGAAAACATATAGTTGCTTGCCTCCCTGTGACCTTCAGCAGAGGTCAACCTTCTCAAAATAACTTCCATGGACTCAGCATGAAATTAAACATGAAAACATGCCCACCTAGCATTCATGGGAAGAATACAGGTATAGATAGTAGGAAGGACAAAGGGGAGACTATTTAGTAAGAGGCAAGGGCTTACAGTTTTATTCAGACCAATATGGGAATTTGAAATGTAAGCCTCTGCAAGAATACTGCCTTTTGCTGAAGAACTTCTCTGTTGGAAATATCTGCTAACTTGGCCATTAAAGCTAACATTGTAACATTGTCCCACCATTCGACTCAAGTTCTAGAATAACTGAAACATGTAAAAGATGTCTTCAGAATCTCTATTTATCCAAGAGCTATATAAACATTGCTCCTGTGCCCCAAATAATTGTATAATCAAATAATTAATGATGGGTTACAAGCAACACTTTCATATACTTTTTTATCGAATTTATTTGTCTCCTGCTTGTTGTTGTTGTTTGGTGCTATCAAGTTGTTTCTGACCCCTATCAACCCTATGTACAACAGTATGAAATATCACTTGAACCTCTGCCATTCTCACTATTGTTGCTACTCTTGAGCCCATTTCTGCTGTCACTAAGATAATCCATATCATTGAGGCTCTCCCTCTTTATTGCTGATCCTCCCTGTTACTAAGCATGACGTCCTTCTCCAGGTATTGGTCCGTCATGATAATATGTCTGAGGTAAGAGAGACATAGTTTGGCCTTCTTGGCTTCTAATCATTCAGAACCAGTTGTACTCCTTCCAACCAGAATTGTATGTTATTAATATTTTTCTCCAAGTATTTGACAACTTCAATCTTTTCTCCATTTATCATGTTATTTATTGGTCCAGTGAGGATTTTT